GGCCTGGGCATGGACTCGCAGCAGGTCGGGCCGATCGCTGACCAGATCGCCAGCCAGCTCGCCCAGTTCGTCAGCGTCGGAGACATGGGGGTGGCAGCCGTGGCCCCAATGCGGCCCCAGCAGGCGCTGCCGCTGCCCCCTGAGGCGCCGCAGCAGCCACGCCAGGAAGGCGCAGCAGGACCCGCCCTGCCTGCCCAGCCCGCCGCCCTTGCGGCCTCCGCGCCAGGCGCGCAGCAAACCGCCCTCAACGACATGGGCGCGGGCCAGCTGGACAGTGTGCTGCAGCAGGCAGGCGTGGCACCTGTGGATGGCAGCGTTGCTGATAAGTTGGCCGTTGCGCGCCGCATCCGCAGCGCCACCGGTGGCATGTACTGAGGTGTCGCCCCCTGCTTCCTGGTGCGGACCCATGGCGAATCACATGACGACGATAAGCGGTGAGGCGTTGCCGGCCTCCGACACACAGACCCCCGTCTTCAACACCACCGACATGGTGTTGCGCGGGCGGAGGGGCCGTAATAGGCCGAATCCTACGGAGGTTGAACGCAAGAGAGGTGCTGCGCTGCTGGGTCGGCCCGAGCACGCTCACGGCGGGCGAGGAGCTGACAGTCCTGGGCCAGTTGGACCCGCGGCTGGCAGCGACATCTACTTCTACGCGGTGGTCCCCAGTGTTGTTTGTGCGCAGCCCAGGGCCGCCGCCGCGACCGCCCCTGGGGCATACGGCACCGCCGCCGGGGCCGCAGCAGGTGCTGGCGCTGCCGTGGCAGTCGTGGCTGCCGGAGCTACCCCAGCGGACTTCGGTTCCCGGGGCCGCGGCGCCGCCGGGGCCGCAGCAGGCGATGGCGCTGCCGTGGCAGTCGCGGCTGCCGGAGCTACCCCAGCGGACTTCGGTTCCCGGGGCCGCGGCGCCCAGGCAGCTGGTGAAGATGGTGATGATCGTGGCGGCCGGGGAGCTCCGCCGCCGCCGGCGCCGCAGGCGCCGCAGGCCAAGGGCAACGTCACCTCGGCGAACGGCGACAACGCGGGCCCGCTCAAGAACCTGCTGACGGCCGAGTGTCCTGGGCGCGTGGTCGTCGCCCTCCAGGAGCACCACGCGGCGGCGGAGCGCATCCCGCAGCTGGAGAGGGGCCTGGCTGACCTCGGCTGGCGGGGCTTCCTGGCGCCCGCCATCACCACGGGGGCAGGCAGCACCACAGGAGGCGTCGGCATCGTCGCGCGCAGCGACATCGGCGTCAAAGCCGCCCCAGCGCCCGCTGCAGGGTGGCAGCGCGGGCTACAGGGTGCGCTCGAGCCGGGCCGCCTGGCCGCCGCCCACGTGATGTGGGGCCCCCTGGCGGCATAGTGATCGCGAGCGTCTACTTGGTCACTAGCGTAGGGCCCGAGGGCGATGCCAACGTCGGGTTGCTCCGCAGCGTCGCCCAGTACGTCGCCGAGCTGACGCAGCTGCGCTACGACTGGATGGCCATCGGCGACTGGAACATGACTCCCGAGGAGCTACCCCAGCGATGGGTAAGCCGACTTGGCGGCGTGATCGTCGCGCCGTCCGAGCCCACCTGCTCCAAGACCTTGCCTGGCAGGATCTTGGACTACGCGATCGTCTGCGCCAACATGGCCCCCCGAGTGGGGAAGCCTGCCGTGGACGCGGCGGCCCCACTCCCTGTGCGCTGTGCGGTAGACGTCCCGCTCCTGGCTGAGGATCGCGTTCTGGCAGCGTATTCCAGTGGCCCCCGCGCCGCTGCCGCCGGTACGTCCTGGCTGCCCGAGGCCGCCGCCAATCAGTTTCCGGGCCGCGACCGAGGAGGCGATCCTGTGCGCTGGCACGAACGCCGACTTGCAGGAGTGCTGGGACGCAGTGTTGCAGGGCATCGAGTCGGAACTCCTCGACAGGTGGGACCTCGTGGACGGCGACGCCCGAGCGCGCTACGAAGGGCGAGCAGGGGAGCCGATGACCAAGTGGGCGCGCTTGCGCTGGCAACCACCCCGAAGGCGGCTGCGGTCGACGCCCGAGCTGCTGGCATGGACGTCCGTCGCCTCGTGGGCTAAGCACGTTCTGCGCGCGAAGGCGCACCTGCTCAAGCTGATGCGGCACGCGGAGCAGCAGCCCAGGGCGGCCGTCCCTGGCCTGGCCAAGAACATCGGCGCCTTCCTGTCCTTTCTCAACAGGATCTTGCGAGCAGGCCACGTATGGGCGTCTGTGCCCAAGGAGGTCCTCGACCTGTTCAGCCTGGGCCTTGATCTGCTGCTGCTGCCCGACCTCGACCAGCGGATGGGGCAGCTGGTGGTGCAGCACAGCGACCTCCAGACCAAGTTCAGGGGGGAAGTGGCCAAGAGGTGGAAAGGCTGGCTCGACGAGGCCTTTGCGAACGGGGCGACTGGCGCGCATCGAGCTACGAGGCTGCAGGAACGGCTGGAGTTCATTTCTGCACCCAACAGCGTCCAGCCCTTCGAGCTCGCGGACCAGGCGATGGACGAGTGGGAGGACCTTTGGACCAGCCCTGGCGCGCCGTGGACCCAGCTCCCTGGCGATGCTGCGAGCTGGGCACAGCTGCCCACAATCGACGGGGCTGCCGTGCGGGAGGCGCTGCTGACGTTCAGCTGGCGCACGGCGGTAGGCCAGTCGCGGCTCCACCCGAGGGCACTGTGGTTCACCTCGGACGCTGCCCTTGACTGCGTCGCGCACCTCTTCATGCGCTGCGAGGAGATGCTGATGTGGCCGTCCAGCAGGATCGTCAACGTCATGGTCAGGCTCCCCGAGCCCGACGGCACCGGCTGCAGGCTCATCACGCTGGTCAGCACGTTGGTGCTTGTCTGGGCCCGCGCGCGGCGCCCGATGTCCAGGCGATGGGCGCAGGAACACCCCGACCAAGCGATCTTCGGCATGCGGCGCGGCGCGACCTCGACGGACAGCGCATGGCAGCACAGCGCGGCGGCGGAGATAGCGCACCTCCTCGGCCAGGCCAGCGTCCCCGTAATCATGGATCTCCACAAGGCTTTTGACAGCGTCCTGTGCGGGCCGCTCCTGGAGCAGGCGAGGCTGATGGATTTTCCCATGCGCCTCGTCTGGCAGTTCGTCGGCTACTTCAGGATGCCACGCGTACTGCAGGCCTACGGCTGCTGGAGCCGGGAGGTCGTGGCCAGCAGTAGCATCCTGGCGGGGTGCGCCCACGGCGCGGCGTTGCTGACCGTCCTCCTGTTCAAAGCCGTGACGCGGCTAAGGGACATCGCAGACCAGGTGACGCCCAGGGCCCTCATGGACGATCTCACCATGCAGTGGGTGGGCGACGCGATCGCAGGAGGCACGCTGCAGCTGCACCGCGCCGTTGCGGAGTTCATCAAGGACGTGCGGCCGCTTGGCATGCACATCAAGAGGGCCAAGTCCGGCTGGCTTGGCACGACGACGGCGGTGCAGAAGGACTTCCGCGCGTCGGCGGCGGCGCCTCAGCTGCCCGAGAGGCGGAGTGTCCGGAACCTCGGGCACGACACGCACGGACGCGCCGCGTCCGTGCGTGTCGTCCGACGCGTCCGACGCGGAGTACGGCGCCCCGTCGCGCAGGCGAGGATGGACAGCCTGGCGGCCAGGAAGCAGCGCATCGACGCGCTGTTCCGCGGCGCTGGCGTGCGGGCGCAGGCACTGCGGCGCACAGGGCTGCTGCCTTCGGCGGCCCACGGCGCCGCAGTCGGAGGCATCGCGGATGCCCACCTCGGCGCGCCGAGGCATCGAGCAGCGCTGCTGTGCAGCGGGCGCGGGGGCATCGGAGCGGACTCCATCGCGGTGCACCTGGCGACCCAGACAGACCAGTACATGGACCCGATGTACGAGGCGACTTTGGCGCCGGTCTGCCGCTACAGCGCGGCGGTATGGGACGGCCACCTTGCCCTGTCGCGCCTCCAGCAGGCGTGGGCGGTGCTCCAACAACGGTGGCGCGAGTGCAAGCCGACCTGGCACGGGATCCGCGGACCCGTCGCCGCCGCCTGGATGAGCCTCCTGCGCATCGACTGGAGCATGCACTCGAGCTTGGTCCTCGTGGACGACGAAGGCCGAGCGGTGGAGCTCCTCAGGACCCACCCCAAGGAGGTGGCCGCGCTTCTGCGCGAAGGAGTGCGGCGTTGGCAGGGGCGCCAAATCCTGCAGCACCATCAGGAGGTCCCCCCGCCACCTGGCGCCAGGATCTGGATGCGAGCTGTTCGCCGCGCGCTGGCCCCCCCTGCGGCCAAGCTGCGCGGCGCGCGCGCAGGGCACCTGCGCATGCTGTGGGCAGGAGCGTCTTGGGATCTGGCCAAGAGGAAGGCGCTCCACTACGTGGCCAGTGCGAGGTGCCCGTTCTGCCCCGACCAGGAGGCCACGGGCACGCGAGGCCACTGGTTCTACGAGCGCCAGCGCGTCGCCGCCATGGGTTCGGACGAGCAGGGCCCCATGCACGAGATGACCGAGCAGATGGCCAAGACCAAGCAGCGGATGAAAGACCGCTGCCACCTGGGCGTAGCCGACGCGGACTACGACAGGTTCGACCTCGTCGTCGGGATCCCGATGGTGCCGTGCGACGTGCCGGCGCCTTCGGCGGTGCGTGCGATCCGCTATTGGGGGGACTGGTCGTCCCCGATCAACGGCAGGACGACGATCACCTACTCCGACGGCTCGGGGTTCGACTCGGCGATTCCCGAGATCACCAGGTGTGGCTGGGCGATCGTGCAGCTCGGCAGCCAGGGCCTCCCCGTGCGCGCCGCGTATGGGACCCTCCCAGGCGCCCGACAAACGGTTGGGCGAGCGGAGCGATGGGCCTTCCTGCAGACGATGCGGCTCCTGCCGACCACGAGGCTCCTCATCACGGACCTGGCGGGCCTGGCGAAGGAGGTGAATGATTGGGACGCCGAGCTCGCCGGCGCGGCGGGCCAGTACGCGGACATCTGGCGCCAGATCTTCGATGCTGCGGCGGACCAGGGCGGCCTGCCCAGGCCTGCTGCGACGTGGTGCCCCGCGCACCTCGAGTTCGAGGAGTTCGTCCAGTGCGCCGACCTGGACCCCATGGACTACCTCGGCAATGCGTGGGCCGACTGGTTTGCCAAGGTGGGGGCGCTGGAGCGCAAGCTGCCCGACGCCTTGGCGGACCTGTTCAGGGCGCGCCTCGCGGACGCGCACGAGGAGGCCGCGGTGTTGGCGTGGCACCAGGCGGCCCTTGGCGCCCTCGCCGAGGACGCCCGCGCGCTGGTGCAGCGAGTGCACCGCCCGGCGGCGCCCGTGGCCCCCGCCGTGCTGGGCCACCGCCACCAGCTCCAGCGCGGCCCTGCAGGCTGGCGGTGCACGGAGTGCCTCGCGACCGCCACCACAGAGGCGGCGAGGCGGCGGCGGCTGGACTCGAGCTGCGAGCCGTCGGCCCTGCAGGGAATGATGGCGCGCGTCCATGCACGCCTCGCCGCCTCCTCCTCCTCCTCCGCTTCGGTTGCTGCTGCTGCGGCCCCGCTGCCCAGCGCCCGAGAGGATGCGATCGCGATCGCCATGAGGGCGGCCGATCGCGTCCTCGGCTCGGTGATTGGCCATCCTGGGCCCGTGGCCGCCAGAACCTGGATTCCGGTGCGCCCTGCGGAGCGCGAGGGGCGATCCCGTTCCCCGAGGCGGGGGGCCGTGGTGGCCCCCAAAGGTGTCTTGGCCCGTGTGGGGGAGGATGGCCATCCCGCCGCGAGACCCTGGATTCCTGTCGGCACGCCGACCGCCTGTGCTGGTCCGTCGGGGTCCGAGGGGCCCGAGCAAGCCCCTGAGGGGCCCACTGTGTCTAGTGGGCAGGGGCATGCACCTCCCAACGGAACCCAAGGGTCCGAGAATTGTGGGAGGGTTCCCAGTGGGCTTGTTACTGGACTTAGTAACGGGGAGCCCCCCCATAGGGTAGCGGCGAGCCCCTCGGTGGTGCCCAGTAGCGGCTCACCCCCTGAGCTTCGGTATGAGCTCATTAGAGGCCACCATATGGCGTCTGAGGGGCCGTTCGTATTCTGTCTCGACTGCGGCGGATCTGCATCCAGCCGCCAGTCCCCAGTGCTGATAGCCCCATGCAGAGGGCCAGTCACCTGGGAGACGAGCCGAATGCGTGCTGCAGCCCTCAGAAACCTTAGGGCTGGACGGCACCCGCGCACGGGGGTCCCCCTAAGCGGCGTCGTCCCCAGCGCCTAGTGCACCGTCTACCCCCAGGCACTCTAGTTTACTTTTCCTCCTGGTTTAGTTTGCTGCAGTGACCCTTCAGCCTTGGCCAGCTTTGCGGGCAGCTGGACGAGCAGTGGCAGGAGGCAGTGCGAGGATGCGGCTTGCTGCGGGAGCCTGAGGAAGCTGGGCCTCGTGGGGAGGCGAGGAGCACGCCTCGTCGGCGAGAGCCTGGGCCCAAGCAGCCACGAGAGGCACAGGCCCAAGAAAAAACAACCCCACGAGGGCTCTCGAGGGTTAAAACTGAGGGGCCACGCCTGGGGAGCACGCCTGAGGAGCACGGGAGCGGGAGGCGAGGAGCACGCCTGAGGACCAGACCAGAGGCGCGGCGGAGCCCGTGGAGAGGGCTGGAGGAGCCAGCCGACCGCCTCCTTGGCGGGAAGTGCGTGCCAGCAGGAGGAGGATGCGACGAGGAGAAGGTCAAGGAGGGCCTCAGCATGGCCCTGGGCGCCTTCCTCCAGTGCGCGGAGGAGGAGTGGATCGACGTGTACCAGCTGGGGGAGGAGCGCGACAGGTATTCTGGTAGAGCTGAAGGCTTCTCCACCAAGGTCGTCGTCAAGAGCGGGGTGCAGCAGGCGAGGTCGCCGAGGCTTACCCCTGAGGCGGCGTGGGTGGCCAGGGTGGCCAACGCGCTGCGCGCCGCCTCCAAGGTGGGCGCGCCACGCGCCAGGCAGGAGGCGCTCGGGTACTTGCCTGCGCTCGCGGCTCGCGTGCCGCAGCGGGTTCGGACGCTGCAGGAGGAGGATGAGGTTGAGGAGGCTGAGGGCAGTGTGGCCAGCTGCGGTGCAGTGGCAGGCAGATGGCACGGCTTCCTGCTGTACGGCGCGGTGGCGCTGTGGGACCCGTTCGCGCTGGCACACATGGCTGACCTCGCCAAGCGGCATGCCAGCGAGCTAGCCCAACGAGATCTTGCCGAGCGAGGCAAGCGCTTTGACGAGTGGGTGGGTAAGCAGCTCAAGGGAGGAGCAGCAGGGCTGCACGCCGTCACTCGGGTGCCAGTAGGATGGCAGAGCAGCACTTGCAGTGGCAGCTCGGGCCCCGCAGGCCTCGGCAAGGAGATCGAACTCCTCGAGGCCGAGTGGGGCAAGCACTGGAGGATCGAGTGCGACCACGCCGAGCTGCAGTGGCCCTCAGATCTGGGCGAACGGCCTCCGCGGCCGTCCGTGGAGGACCTGCGCCGCTGCCTCCGCTCCTTCAAGAAGGACACGGCCTCGGGCTTCGAGGCCATCAAGCCCAGGCAGCTCCTCGAGCTCAGCAGCGAGGGGCTAGAGGCTCTGATCGACCTGCTGATGGCCGTGGAGCAGATGGCGGAGTGGCCGCAGCTGCACACCAAGATCGTGTTCTTGGCTAAGCGGCTCGGGGGCGTTCGCCCTGTGGCCATCATCCACGTGGTGGCCAGGGTCCAGGCGAGGCTGCGCAAGCCGCTGGCGGACGCCTGGGAGCGCAGGAACGACCGCCCCTACTTCTGGGCGTCCAGAGGCAAGGGCTGCGAGAGGGCGGTGTGGCAGCAGGCGGTAGAGTGCGAGTGGGCCTCGGCGAAGGGGCGTGAGGCTGGTGACGCCTCTAGCTGGGTGTCAGCGCTGGTGCTGCTCGACCTGCTCAAGGCGTACGAGCAGGTGCAGCACGGGCGCCTCATCCAGGCGGCGGTGCGAACGGGCTTCCCGCTGTGGCAGCTCAAGCTGCAGGTCAGCCTCTACAGATCTCCGAGGTGGCTTGCGCTGGGAGAGGCCTTGAGCAACCCCATCGCCACCAAGCAGGCGGTGCTGCCAGGCGACGGCTTCGCCACGCTCATGCTCAAGATGATGCTGATCGAGCCCCTCGACAAGCTGCAAGCGCTGGTGCCCACCGTCTCCCTGTCGGTGGTGGTGGACGATCTCATCCTGAAGCGTGTCGGAGGCCTGCGGCGCACGGTGGATGAGGTGGCGACGGCGACACGGCGCCTCAAGGAGCTCCTGGGGAAGGCCGACCTTCGCATCGCCACCAAGAAGTCCAGGGCCCTCTCCAACTACCCTGAGGCGAGGCACGAGCTGGAGCGGAGGCTGCAGAGGACGGCAGGCGTCACTGCGGCGAGGCAGGAGCGCAACCTGGGCGTCGACTTCAGTGGAGGCAAGCGGCTCGGACGTGAAGTACGAGCAGGAAGGATGCAGCAGGCCCAGCAGCGCCTTCGGAGGGTGAAGATCGTCAAGATGACGAAAGGCAGGAAGCCCGCGACGAGGAGGCTCGCGAAGACCGCCCTGCACCCCAGCATCGGGTACGGCACGGCCATCACAGGCTGCACCACGACCGAGCTCGATCGTGCCAGGTCCCTGACGTTCGTGGCGGTGTCGAACACCACGGCGGAGAAGTCAAGGACCCTCACGATGATGCTCCAGCCAGGGCTCGACCCGATAGTCGACGCCACGTGCAAGCCCGTGCAGATGCTACTGCGCGCGGTGTGGGAGGGCTGGGTGCCACGCCACATGGTGGTCTTATGCCTGCAGGACGCGCGCACGGTCACGTGGGCCCACGTCCAGGGCCCTTGCGCGGCGACGCTTCTCTCGCTGCGGAGGATTGACTGGGAGGTCGTCACGGCCAATTGCTGGAGGATGGACGATGGTGGCCTCCTTGCGCCGTTTGACATCTCCCCGTGGATCGTGATCAAGCTGGTGCAGCGGGCCATCGTGAAGTGGCAGTGGAGACAAGCCAGCCTGGCGCCTGGGTGCGCTCACCTGGCGGAGGGCGGGACGCTGGAGCCGCTCATCAGGCTCACCTCCACTGGCTGTGTCACGAGCGTGGCGGACAGGAGGGACGGTATCGCCGCGGGCACCAAGGTGCGGCTCACCCTCAAGGAGCGGGCGTACCTCCACTCCCTGGTGGTCAATGGGCAGTGGCCCCAGGCGCGCAAGGAGGAGAAGGGCCTTGCCGAGTGTGCTGAGTGCCTGCGGTGCGGGGGCAGAGGGACGCTCCTGCATCGCCACTGCGATTGCGAATGCTGGAGAGAGGTGCTGACGCTTCCGAAGGAGATCGCGGACCTCAGGAAGCGGAGCCACCTGCCCGAGGTCACCCTGCTGTTGGAACGGTGCCTGTGGCCGACGCCGCCTGGGCTACGCCAGCCACGGGCCAGTGACCTGGTGTGCTGGCGCGGCGACCACGACGGCGGGGCCCCCCCTGGTGGCGAGTTCTTCCTCGACGGCTCCGCGTTCGAGGCCGACTTCGACGAGTTCGCATCGGTCGGCTGGAGCGTGGTCGCCTTGCAGCCCGATGCCGATTGCTACCTGGCCTCCGTTGCTGGGCAGTTGTGCGGCGCCTACGTCGACATCAACGGGGGCGAGCTCATGGCGGTGATCATGGCGCTGCGGTTCAGCATGGGCGTGGTCACGCTGGTGGTCGACTCGAAGTACGTGTACGACGGCTTCTACAAGGCGGGTCGCACGAACACTGCCGCCTACGCGTACTCCTGGGCGCACCTGTGGCGGCTGGCGTGGGCCCTGGTGGACGACAGAGGAGGGCTTGGTCGTGCAGTGCACCTCCGATGGGTCCCTGCCCACCGCACCAGGAGGCAGGTCGTGGACGGCGCCATCAGCTACCGCGACTGGAAGGGCAACTCGTACGCCGACGCAGCTGCGAAGGCGGCGGCTGCCCAGGGCCGTGCCTCGGCCGCCGATCGCCGCAAGCTGCACCTGGCTCGGCAGCAGGTGGACTTGGTGGCCATGTGGTGCACTGCGGTCGGCACATGGGTGGATGGCAGCGACACCACCCATCGCAAGGAGCGGCCGAAGAGGGCGGTTCGGCGGCGCCGTAAAGCCTCCGCGTGGCTGAGCTGCAGCTGGCGCGGGA